TTCGTTCTTTTAATTAGCTTTTTATAAGAATGAATTTTTAAAGAAACGTTTAAATAAAATAAAAAAAGTACATTAAAAATTATGCCAAATTGGAAAATATACCTACATTAAAAAGAATCTTCAGTGAAGATCAACTTGAAATTTCTAAATGGCAAAAAAAGGTTGAGGCACTACATGATCTATCCAATTTGGGCTCCAAAGCCAAAACGCAAAGCCGTTGACGTAAAAAAATTTAATGTGAGTAAGATTTCATAGACTGTAAAATGTTAATAAGCGTCGCTTAGATGTGTATCAACACTTTACGGTCTACGAAATCTTACCTATATTGATTTTTTTTGCGTCGATGGCTTTGCATTTTGACTTTAGAACTGAAATTGGATAGGCCTAGTCTAATGGCATAACTAAAAATGCTGTTCGATTGAAATTTACATATGTATGAATAGATTCTGATGAATATCGAGAAATCTTAAAACAAAATGTTCCTTTACCGTCAGAACGAACACTTCAAAGAAGATTCGCCCCACTCTCGACGAGCTCTCAATCGCTCAGACGACGACGCTAAGTATCGTTTAACTAACTGAGGAAAGTTCGTTCAAGTTCTCTCGCGATCGGGAGAAATTCGATTTCCACTGCAAAATAAGTATTCCTCAACGCGAATTAACTAACTCGCTGCCATGACAGAAACCATGGAGGAAGTGACAATTTAGAATGCGAGTTTTGATTACTTTCGCATAATGCGACGCGATTTGCTTTGCGAATCAGAAACGCCCGATTACACCAAGTAATTGATCTTCGAATTTCAGTATAACGCCATGCATCCGGGCGAAAGTGGCGGTGGCGGCGAGTACAACGTACAGGAGGGCTTCGGATGGACGAACGGCGTTGTCTTCGAGTTGCTCCGCATCTTTCCGAACGCGGAATCTGTGGATATAATCAAATACGACAGCAACGATATTGATAGATAATATACGGACAAATCAGCAGCTAATTGATTTCTAAACAGTAGAATTCTAAACATTTGTTTCTTTCCAAACAAAATTGAAAATAAATGCATTAAGAAAGAGAGAAATTGATACTTGATTATGACGATAAAATTTTTTAAATTAAAAATTCTTACACAAAAAGAACTTTTTTAAAGAACTATTTTGCTAAAGTATTTAAAAATTTAGGTAGATGCAGATCTGAAAATAATTTTTAACGGAACCATCAAAATAATTATGGAGAAATGTAATTATGTAGAAAACACAAGCATGATGAAGAACGGTGTATAAAATTTTGATATTCTAGCATTCAACTGGAGCGTTTTACATAATTATTTTAATAGTCAGAATTATATAACAAAATTATTTCCAGATCTCTCTGGTGAAAATTTTTCTCGGACCTTTTCATATAATTTTTTATATTTTTTATGTAAATTTGAAATTTTCGGAATCTGAGTAATTTTATAACTTTTAAGAAAATTTCCCCAATTTTTTATACAAATTGAAACACTTTTCAAAAAGTGCCAAGAAACTATATCTTATTTAGAGAATTCTTCATATTGAATATGTGAATTCTGAAATATATTCTGTAAAATTTCTAAAATTTCTTATTCTAAAAATTTCTGATAAAATCTTATAAGATTTAAAACAATTTAACACATTTTTCCAAAAATTATATTATATAATATTATCAAGTTTTAGAATATTTCAGAATTCGCATATATAAAAAGTTCTAAGATGTAAACTTTCTTATTATTTCTAAAAAGTGTTCCAATTCATATAAAAATTCTGAGAAAAATTTTCATCAGGACTGTATTTATATTTTGATTGCCTCAATAAAATTGTTATGTCCGTGTAATCTTTAAAATTAGAAATCGATCAGAGCACATTTTCCTTATATATTGTTAATATAGCGTTCCTTTTATTACAGATATTTTTATTTACAATTTTATTTCGCAGAATTTTTATTTTTTGCAATTGTCTGCAATTTCTTCCACAGTAATGTTAGAAATACAGTATTTGTTTTTTTATTTGCAAACATTTAAGAAAGCTTATAAATCTTTGAGCAGTAAAATTAATCTACGGAAATCATCATTTCTTAAAACAAAATTTAATGTTGACTTACGTAAAAGCAATTACTAAACAATTGATTCAAATTACATTGTTAAATTTCTATTTTATGACACAAACAATTATATCATAAAAATTATCTAGTACATAAAAGAATATAGCAGGATTTATGTATTATATATTTGTTAAACGTTTAATGATAAGTGCATGTAGACAACGCGAAGAACCATCTAGTCGACAAGGAAAATTAGGGTAGCAAATAAAGATATCGACTGTACCCTTATCGCTCGTACTTTAAATTACGTAAGTTCCGTGGGTCCCCACGAAGGATTTAGATCGACGCAAAAGAATTATAACTTTATTTTTAATTTTCTCTCTACTGTGGAGTATATAAAATTGAAACGCGGAGATACCATATATGTTGAACATTAATTACTACGTACCACGTATAACAATTTGGGAGGACCCCGTTTGCCTACAAATTGATTGCCTACAATAACCGTTTGCCTACATCACATTTGCCAACAGTTCGTTTGCGCACAAAAATTATTGCCCACAACTCGATTGCCTACACAAACTATTGCACATAAATATAAAATTAAGAGAAAAAGGCACGTTTATACAATACATACAATACTATTGCACACAAACTGCATTGCACACATATAATATTATTACTTACAAATCGATTGCCTACAAGCCTTTTTGCGCACAAATAAAAATTTCAGAGGCGTAGTCACATTTGCCTATACGTATTATTGTCTACAGATCGATTGCAAATAAGCATTATTTTCTGCTTTAAAAACACAAATTCGCTGTTTTAAAAACACATACTATTTTCTTATATAATTTAAGCGCTTGTAGGCAGTCGATCTGTAAGTAACAATATTACGTATGTAATGCAGTTTACGCGCAATAGTGTCATGTGTGCAAACGTGCCCCCCTTTTTCTTTTAATTTTATATTTGTACACAATAGTGCATGTAGGCAATTGAGCTGCAAACAATTTTTGTGCATAAATGAACTGTCGGCAAATGTGATGTAGGCAAACGATGTTGTAAGTAATCAATTTGTAAGCACAAAAGGAGTCTTCTCTAACAATTTATATCGTTGGGCTAAAATTGAGGGTTTTCACTCTTATATCGAATTTCGAACTGTTACTGTTAATTTACTCTGTTTGTCGCGTGCGACCAAAAATTCTTTTTTCCGAAAGCAACTGAAATAAGTTATGATTATACAAGAAATTTTAGATGAATGAATGTTGAAATGTTGAAAATTGTAAAATTGTATACATTACTATTTTTTTTATAGTTAATGTTACGCACGAGTGTCATAACACATCTTTTTAGGTTGAGTTGTACCGTTTCGCTAATTTTCTTTTTTTGTAGTAAAATAAATAACCTGTTGAGCCGCATTTATATCGCACATTGATGTAACAAATTGTTGAATAAATATGAATAACGCATACGTGCAATAATTTTACTGTATGTATTATATATATGTTTACTCTCTTCTTAAGGCATCTTTAAGGTTTTCTTTGTATTGTCATTATACTTAACCAATCTGTACATGATTACACTAAATAAATAAAAAGAATTTAGTATGGTAAGTATATAAATACACTCACCCACAATAAATATAGGCCATTGAATCGATACAGTGGCTTATATTTTTATAAATATGTAAGTATAGATAGATAAGGCTTTAATAAGGATCATCATGTTATTTTTAATTCGTATCAGTTACCTAATTCACTTAAATCGTACCTCATCAATTTTTTTTCTTATTACCATTACTATAAACAAAACCTAATAATAAAAATATAGAATAAATAAGGAGAGAGAGAGAGAGAGAGAGAAAATATAAAAATATAAACAGAAAAATTTTCAGATTACATTTTAGTTTGTACACGATGCAAATATTTATAAAAGATAAAATTCATATAATTTTTAACTAATTTATATAGCCAAATATACCAAAATTAATATATCTAATAACTGCGGCTTTATTCTGTATTGTAGTGTTTTTATATTTTTATATAAAATTTCATAAATAAATAAGCACTAGTAGAATAATAATGTAAATAAAAAATGTTTTATATTATTTTATAATAATCGTATATTTATAATAATACATATGTGAACCGTGATCTTTCAACAGTCAAAGTTTCCCTCTGTATTTTGTTACGTACAAAAAACAATATAATATTTGAGTTTAGAATACAAATTAGAACAATAAAAAAATTTTTTTTCGATTTTTCACAACTAATTTATTAGGAGAAATATGGTACTAGTATAAACGTCCCACGATTTACACAACATTAATAAAAAAACAGAGATTCACACGCAGGGTTAAATCTGATTTTTAGCGGATTCATTGCAAAACATTTTATATTTATATTATTATCCAATTATAGAGTACCTACTCATTTATTTATCAAATACTTATTATATTATTTAGTATTTTGAGGACTATTTAATTTATGTACTCATAAATAACGAATAAAATATATATATACGTATATATAAAATATATACTACATAATATACATATAATAAGCTATAAATAAAATATATACTGTATGAGGCAAGCATGATAATAAGCATTCTCAATCATACACTTATTATTTTTATTCACTAATTTATAATTTTTAAAAGAAATATACATTTTTGGAAATCTATAGACACGATTTAGAAAACTATTTTAGTTACATATCACGACCGCCCACGTCACTGTGGCTTGAACCATGCGGAATCATCTCATGGATTAAAACTACGTGAAACTTAATAAGGTCTTCGCAAGAGATTAGCCTCATTCCCTCCCTTTCTTAATAGACACAGAATGTCCATTAACGTGAAAATACGATCTTGATTCCGTAACTTCCTCATTTTTACCATTAATATCGAGGAAAAATGAAGCGATAAATTATACGGAAAAATCACGCCTCGTTTATTCAACAAAATATTATTTATAAAACGAAATTATACATCGTAACTTTTTGACAAGATAGTCCCTTGGCAAGGTAGTCCTCTTCAGATTGAGAGAGTTTATGTGGCGTTATCATTTCTTCCATTTTTCACCGTTGTCGTAACCCAGTTTGTACAAATCCTTCAAAATGACGTTGAACGTTACGGTAACAACTCCCTCGACCCTCATGCGTGTGACTGTAATATTACAAAGTAGATACAATTTGAAAGAAAGGCATTATAATCCGGGAGCTAGTGACGATTTTCCTTACGCGATTTGATATCGGCTGGAAATTTTTATGTTGTTAGTCTACTAATATACAGACTCTTCAGGGTCTGTATATTACCTCCAAAAAAGATCGGTTGATATCAAATGACGTAAAGGCACCTCATTTTTTGACATCTTTGACCTCGCTTTGACCCGTAGCCAGGCAACTTACGCAACCTCTTTACACAGATATTGTCGTTACTATATATACTTAGTGTTCAAACTACTACCCAAAAAGGTTTCAGGCAGTATTAAATGACATTTATGCATCGGGATTTTTGACGATTTTGATGAAGTGCGTTTCGGTATTGCGGCCGGTCCGAAGAACGGCACTGACTTTTCTCTTTTCTGCTACCAGTGCTACCTAGACGCCGTAACGCCATAAAAATTTTCAGCCGGTATCACGTAAAGAAAATCACATAAGGAAAATCATCACTGCACTGAGAAAAAAATATCTAATTTCAAAGAAATATTTCTTTGCTCGTATTCAAATTATTACTTTGGATCAATGAAAATTTCTTTGAAATTAAGATTTTCTCAGTGTAGCTTCCGGAATATTAGCAGCAGCGCGAAAAACATCTTAGGGTGGGTTCAGATTTTAATAGAAAAACAGAAAGCAGAAAAGCACCATGCATTCAATGCGCTGATAATAAGCAATCAGAAAACCGAAACCAGCGCGAGTTCTGATTTTACATTGTCATTTAGCTTCTCCTTCTCTCTCTCTCTCTCGCGCGTAATTTAAAATTTTATACTGAATGTCATTTATATTTTATAAACGTTTCAAAATACTTTGATAGCACTGGTCACTAATAATAGAAATAATTCAAAGTGAGTCATTCCCATGGATGTGCAGTAACTTGAAAGTAGAAGAGAGCAGATAGCCAATCACATTTGATCCATTTTATGAAGATCCAATTTGGCATGGAAAAAAAAGCTAAATGTAATTAGTTGATATTCCATGTGTCTCTCACCCTTTGTCGCTATTAGGCACAATGACTCACTTTGCATTCTTTTCACCATACTAATGACCATCACAACGTCATGAAATCAGACAAAGTAAGAGTTACTATTTTAATAATTGATTTTAATAAAGAAAGCTCAACAAAATGATGATAAATTAATCAACCATTACTTCCTTCTGTTAAAATGTGTCTCAAAATTATATTTTCCAGATATTCAGACTACTTTAACTACGATTTCCGGAATCATTAAGTGAAACTGAGTAAGAAAAATGATAAATCTAATGATTTCTGCATCTTTCCTTTTTTTTTTTGAAAGTCTACAAAGGGGTTTATGGATTTTAGGCATATCGCTTTGTAGACTTTCTTAAAAAAAAAAAATCCGTGATTTATCAAAATCTGTGATGGAACTTTTTGATCTAATATTCTTTTCCAACGACTGAAAATACATAAAGATGATCAGTCAGGTATTAGAGAAACCTTATAATACAGTGTTATTAATCATTGTCCGCTGCATCGAGATTTGTCGATTCTATATATGATAAGAGACTGAGTTAATTTTATAACACAAATACAACACCATTAATTATATTCCATTACATCTCCAGCCTCCTAGATATAATTAATTTAACACTACATAATAGACACACTAACGAGCAACGTCTTGATGCATTTCCTTACGTTCTCTGCCGCCGCCGGACGCAAGTATAGTGGGATCAATTAATTCCGGTCTTCTGCCGGTTAACCATTCCATGAAATGCTGCAGCATGGATGACGATTCCGTACTCTTTCGAGATTTCAGATTTCGTAAGTAAAACATATTAAAGCATCAAAGGACAATGCACCATTTCAAAGAAATTGAAAATTGATACGTGCCAAGTGATACGTACCAATGTAGATATGGAATTACGATCGAGTATCTATCTTTGACGAAAATCTCTGAACATCAATGTGATAAGAAATAGATTTAATGATCTCGCATCGCATGTATCATCTGACATTTTTACAGATTTCATTCCTCTTGAAACGTTGAACGACCATTATAACACTACATTTTTCGATTCATGAAATAAAAAAAATCATTATTTATATAGAGATGTATAAATTATCTTTTCCGTGAGAAATCCTATGTAGCCACTAGAAATTCGCATCTCTCTTACATAACAAATCTAAAGGAAATCTATCATTTTATTTACAAAAAAGATAAGTCTTTTTTCTCATCTTTTTACTTTCTCCTTTCTTTGATGTCTATAATCTATCTTTGCCTCTCTTTTTAATGACCGTTTCTACTAATACAACTCTATAACTTTTTTAAATGTCATTTTTTATCATGTTTATAAGTGCTCTCTGTGAAAAAACGACATTTCCGGATCACGAAAATTTGAAATTTATTTTCACTTATTAATCGATAACTAAGCTTGAAGGAATTTCACCAAAAGTCAACAACAAAAAATAGAGTTGTTACATAAATCGATGACTAATGCAGTTTACCTGCGACATTCTTCATTATTAGCTATAATTCGTCTTGGTCACAAGACATAAAACAAATATCTTCGGTTACAAAGATCAATATTTAGGTTTTGTAGCATGCTCCTATAATTCGAAATTGTATTTCTCGTTGTTATTCCTTTTATTATTTCATGAATACAGCATTGGCCATAGGTATAAAGCATTTTCACAAACTGATGATATCGTCCTATATTTAACGAAAAATAAATTTAAAAACATTTTATTAAAAAAATAATATTCATTTTTATAATAATTTGAATGATTTATTAATCCTTCTTTTATTACCGCCTTTTCCAAGAAAATGCAATAAATTGATGATGCTTTACTTATGACCAAAGCTATTATATGTTATAAATCAAATTACAATTTCTTTAAATGGCGCTCTTATTCCATATGTTTTATCTACTGATCGTGTTGCTATTATGCGTGAATAAGATTTAATGCACAATTAAAAGTTCATCCGGAGAAAAATGTTTCATATACAATTATATATAATTTCATAACATTATATAAAATTATATATAAAATTGACATATTTTATATATAATTATATATTTTTCCCGGGTGGGTAATAGGAACAGGGAATAGCAGATTTCAAGCTATAGAAACTGTGTCAGATTGCACGGTTTCTCATAGGATGAAACCTATAATTTGCTGTTCCTATTGTCTGTGCTTAATTCAGCTGTGTCTCAAGCTTAATACCTTTTCTCATGATATCCAGTTTTCAGAGGTAAATGACACACTCCGTATCCCCTAATGACGTCGCGACCGAAAAAATCCAAGCCGTAAATCGACATGATAAGCTGTGGCCCTATTTGATAAATACATATTTCACTATTTGTGAAGACTACAAATATGAAACGTACATATGAAAAGCATGGAAAAATTTTTTTTCACATTTTTTTATACGCGTTTTATCCTTCGCTTTATAACGCGTGTCATAAAAAATATTTCTGCACATCACTCACATCCATGTGGATTTGTACTCTTAAACGTAATGTCCAATGGAAAGTTCCATACGGCGAGATTTCTAGGCTCGTTGCTGCATTTGCACATTTGCGTCAGCCCTTCTTCGATTCCCTATGAAAAATGACATTCTACTTTAAATTCGTGATTTCACAAATTAAATATCTAAAAGTTATTTCGATTTCATTGCGAATTCATTTAGACTATAAAAAGGGTACCTTTTGAATCCGAAAAAGAACTCATATAATTGATGACATAAAAGTGAATTGTTTTGGGACCCTTAGGAATACTTTTAGAACAGAAGTGGGATGGAAAAAGAATTCATTTCGTAAGTCAGGAATGAAAAAAGAATTCTTTTTGGATTCTCTGTGCTATCTGGATTAAGATCATCAGTATACCGGCTCTCCATCTCAATATTTATCCTATTATAATATATAAATTATTCTTCAAATTTCTTAAAACTATTAATTATGAATTCAAAAGCAACCATAGAGACAATAATTAATTTACGTTAGCTCAAATAGAAATAAAAAATACAAAAATAATAAAAGGCATAGAACATTTAAACCACCGCATGCTAAGTCTTTTTGCGCAAGATTCGTTCTATTCGAATTTGTTAAATAATAGAAATCTTGTGCATAAAAAATTCAGCGTGTGGTTTAAATGTTCTACGCTTTTTATTGTTTATGTTTATAAAGCCATTACTTCTTTCTCATTAATATTTTTATTATTGTTAAAATATACGAATAATAAACAATTCATAGAATTTTGCAATTAATTAATTATATTTAATAATATCATTTTTCAGACCGCGTGTATGTGAGAAACACAACCGATAAATAAGAGCCCTATACGGTCGAAGCTAGATCTTAAAATGCTTTAAATAATTCAATCTTGAATCACTAAATATGATATACTATATGTACTTGACATATATACCACAATTGTAGTCTAACGAACTGTGCACCGAAATATTTCCGAACTAAACACAATTAAACCACTATAGTAAATTTCGCGAATTAAATTAAATTCTAATTTCGATGCTCAATCAGGCATCATACCATATTTCCAAGATATTAATATGCTGAAAATATATTTAGTTGATATAATTTCGAAATTTTATTGAAGTCAATAAATATTATATTCTAAACATAAAAGGAGATTATACGAAGTTTTTCCTTCTGATGTCGTAATTCAATATTGTCGCATATGCCTTAGATTCCGTTATGACAATAACTACTTAATTTTATTATTCCTTTCGACTTTCTTTTATTACTATGGGAGCTTACCGCAACGACGCTCCAGTCAGGTCCAAAATGAAAACTGTACTTGCAATAAACGTTATTGACCTCGTAGAACTCTGCATGCTCGATAGAGCCGATAACAGAGAGAAAAAATTGTCCTTCCACTGACATACTCGTCGACAAAAGAAAGCTTTGCTTCCTTTTTCGAGTTTGTAACCAATAATACCCTGATAACTCGCCCTTTACAAAACACTCAAGGCTCTTAATGCTCTTAACCTTCTGTTTATATAATCGAACTGCAAGTTGTTACCATGGAAATGACGCATGTGTACTTAAAATGATAACGCATCGTTGCCGGTTGCGTGTGGATTATGTGGCGAGCCGTAACTGTATCGTAGAATTTTTAGACATTTTTAGATTACTAATATTCTCGAAATTTCTTTGAGATGATTCTCTAACAAATAATTTATTAATAGCAATGGTGCATAATTTTTTTACGATACCTTTTCTCTGAAATTTGACATGACCATTACCTTTTCATCATTTATGTAGGTGAAAAATAATTTTAAAAATTATTTATATCAATGTAATGTCAGTTTATTATAACTTTCATTTATATATAGATAAAATTTAATATTTTTTAATATTTTAATGCACTTATACAATATATAACGTTTATCTTTATAATTGCTAATATACTAAAATAAATTGCATATTAATGCATATTGAGAGCGGGCAAAAAACCAAAATTAAATCTGACACAAAAGAAAATAATTTTTGAATTAATGAAATGTGCTTCCATGGAATCAATAGGCGAGTTCAAGACGGCAAAGCAGCTAAGCATGCTTACCGACCGATTGAATATAATTGGTTGGATCTGTAAGGGCGCGTTCCACTTAACGTTCGCAACGCTCGCGAGCATCATTTCATCCTTGTTTAATATTTGTAAACGACAAGAAGACTAGAACCAGGAGAGTCAACTCGCGTGGTGGGGGTGAGTCAAAAAGCGTCACCCGCTGCTTACCCCCAACCCCTGTTGAGGACGATGCTCAGTAGTTCACTGAGTACCTCACAAAATTGGAATATTGTTTTTCGATTTTCTTTATCTCCAGGATTGAAGTCACAATTTCGAACACAGCACACTCGCTTGGGCATCGTAAATCACATCGGATTAAATTTTTACGGTTTATGTTTAGTTCAAAATTCAATCAAACAGAAACAAGGTACGTTGACATGCGCAGTCACGAATTGAAACCGACTATGTAGAGCAACAGAGAGGATGAAGCGCAAGAGTGGGGGGTGTCGTTCGTTTCCACTTCTTGCCTCACCCCCACTACCGCTTTTACGCCGAGTTGACTCTCCTGGTTCTAGTTTTCTTGGTAAACGATAAGGATGAAATGATGCTCGCGAGCATTGCGAACGTTAAGTGGAACGCACCTAAGTAACAACCAAAGGTTTGTTCGCGTCGCAAGCTCCAACTTTCTCCAACATGCTCCTACCATACCTCCTATTCACTCTATCAAGCGCGTTGGAGTGAGTAAGAGCTATGGTAGGAGCATTTTGGAACATGTTGGAGCATGCGACGCGACAAACCTAAAGTCACTAGATTTCTAAAGTAGCGCAATTAATTTCAGAGATGTTGCGTCAAAATGGCCGAAGTGCACATAGTACACGATTCCAAGCATAGTGGTTGGGTGGTTCATCTTTTAAACTGTACTTATATGTCCCTTCGTGCACTTTCATGCACTAAACTTCTACAACAAATAAACCCGTATTAAATTAAAAAACACATAAATTAAGCATTCGTACATATTCTTTTGTTCATAAATAAACTAATTAAAATTAAAAAACATTGCTTTACATACCTGACGGCTTCATTTTCTTAAATAAAGTACATATATACGTCGGTGATATATACAAGTCATAAATTCGAAATGGCCGCGTTTTGCGTCAAAATTTCTATAATTGACCCAATGTAGGAGATAGTCGATCATAAATTATGTTCAGAATTCTTTTTTATTTTGCAATCCTATAATAATATAACATAATCAACAAAGGCTTTGTTATAATATAATAAGTTATAAATATAATATGAGTCAAAACAAGGAGCATGTAAGCCTAGCTGGATGTTTTTTGCTAATTTATTCTTTATTCTGATAATAAATATAAATAATATTAAGACTAAGAACGACCGTATATATGAATACATCAATTACGATAGAGAACGCCATTAGCGGTAAAAGTTAGATGTTTCGAATAATACATTATATATTCTTTATTAAATCGATTTATTTCTGTTTTGACTAAATACAAGAATTTTCATATTTAATTAAGATTTATTTTCATCGGTCTAAATTTATATCTATTGATTAAGAATTAAATCAAATTTTACTGTAAAGAACTATTATAAGTTAAATTATTTATTCATTTTATATATGCACATATATGCATCCTGTCTGTGAGTATGCCACGTGATCTGAGTGTATCACGTAATATTATATGAAAACAGTGAATATACCACGTGATCTAAGAGTGTATCATGTATATATTATATGAAAACACTCCGTGTTTATATACTATGTGAAAGTATATGTGAACTTAAAAAACATGGCGCTACCTTCAAACATGACGGTAAAGTCGGCAGTCTAAATACAGAAGTATCTAGATAGTCTATGCTGAAATTAGCTTTTTCAGCTGATTATTTGACTGATATCTTAACTGATATCGTATAGCTAAGTATCTTTAAATTCTTTGAATTGCACATTGTTTCGTCTTCGCATAGCATGCACGACATCAACAACATAACGCTTGACGCGACGGAATTAATGAAGATCAATTAAGGAAATTCATAGTATATTTGGCTTTTTTTTTCGAAACAGTACATTCTTCTAAAACCAGTTAACAACTAGAAAATAATGATGTCGCTTCCTCGTTGATAATAAGTATTGTATATTTATGTACATGTAGCAACGCCTCAAACTGTACACAATTCTGAAATGAGCGCATTGACCAATACGCGTGACTACGCATTGACATAGAATAAGACTATCCGTCAGAGTTTTGTCAAATTTGTGAATATACATTCTCTTCGCATTGTATAAGTGATTAGTACTGTCAAGTAAAAGTGAGGCAAAAGGCAACGAACTAACTAAAATTGACTAACACCATACATCTAAAATATATCTAAGACAGTATATCTGAATTTTGTCTTTAGATGTATTTTGAATATTTTTATGATATATAGACGTTTGCGTTGAGCTGCGATGGCTAGACCGGGATCGTACCGTATCCATTCACTTATCCAAGAGAACAGATATGTGATGACATTGTACTACTCTGATTGGATTCGTTCCATTTAACATATTTTTCTCTTCCATTTCCGCATATAATGACTCTTTGAATAGATATCCACTCAGCGGTTAGTTTATCGTTCACCACTCGATATTTCCTTCATGCGATTCAAAGCAGAACCGGCTTTGAACCAACCGATCTGCTGCTCATTCATTGTGTGGTTCAGACTGATGGTGTCTACCTTGCCGTCTTTGTGTTTGATTTGTGCTTGGACCGGCTGAAAAAATCACATCAAACAAAAGGAAAAATAAATAGAACATTCGAAAATTTTATACGTCAGATATTAAAAGTAAAATTAAAGTTAAAATATTTAATAACATTTTTTAATTATACATGCGTGTGTGTGTGTGTGTGTGTGTGTGTGTGTGTGTGTGTGTGTGTGTGTATTTGTAATAAATTCTTTGCAGCGTTCTAAGACTTAAAGGGATGCTGGAGTGAAGGGTAATTATGCATATTAGGACCGACCTCACAGATTTCAATGATTTTGACATATGTTGTAAAGGTCATGACAAAAACTTTTATATGGAGCAAGTGTTAACCTCAGATGGCAGTTGTACGAGCTAGAAAAAGTGAATTTTATTTTTTTCCGATTTTCTCGTGAAATGGTGTTTCACAGGATTGTTTTTATACGTTCTTTAATACTGTAAAAAAAATTTACAATCCGTAAAGCCAATTCGAAGAATTTTCCTTGAATGTAATCGTAATAAAACAGGGGGTTTTTAGGATTCCCTTAGCGGCGTCTACAATGGAATTTTAAGGCGTAAAACTTAAGCTTTAAACTCTAAGCCGTAAGAAATTGATCAATCACAATCGAATATGAGGAGAATATTCGACTATTGGTTAATTTCTTACGGCTTAGTGCTCAAGGCTTAAGTTTTACGCCTTAAAATCTTATTGTAGATGCCGTTTTAAGACGCTTATTAGCATCACTAACTAAATTAACGACCAATTTAATCGGATATTAATGTTTAAGCTTCAGTTTGCGATTACGTTTCAAAAATCTAACAGTATATATGTATAATTGAAAAATGTATTTAACGTTTACATAAAAATATTATTAGACACCAAGATCCAGTCTCGACTATATTTATGGTTACTGTCTTACTTATTTAAAATATTTCCTTAAGTTTCTGGATCCTTTTGTTTAACTTATTTTCATGTTACAAGCAAAACATTTTTTACAAACCTTGCCAGGTGTAAGATTATTCAACCCGAGAAGACTGATCTTGTCGCTAGGCTGAATTTTGTCGTAATCCGCAGGGTTGGAGAAGGTCAAAGGCAAGAGACCTTGCTTCTTCAAATTTGTCTCATGTATACGTGCAAAACCCTTCACGATGATGGCACGACCGCCAAGATGGCGTGGTTCCAGGGCAGCGTGCTCCCTGGAGGAACCTTCACCATAATTCTCGTCACCCACCGCAACCCATTTTACATCATTCTTCTTGTAATCTCGTGCAACGTCAGGCACGGCACCCCATTCATTTGTCAATTGATTCTTGATCTTATTCATCTCGCCATTTTCAGAATTAACAGCACTAAAAAGATGATACGACAAATGCAGTTGACATAACATTATCGTATTAATAATATACACGTAATTTTGAAAAATTTATTCTTATATTTCTCTTACTTCAAAAGTGGCACAACTAAAAAAAATTAACCAGTAGAAAATAAGAAATAACGGCTTATAATAGTCGAAGCTGAATCTTTAATGTTTAAATAATTTCATGTGAATTTGCATATACTAATGCAAACTTTGTACATACATATATTCTATATTTGTAGTTATTTGCATTGAGCACCAAATTAATTTTTTCGGACTTAGAAACGCAGCTAAACTACTGTAGTTAATATCACAATTGACGCTCAATAAGAATTTTTTAAGAGATCTTAATATGCTGGAAATCTCTGTGAATAAATTTACTTTTTATAGCCAAAATATTATCTCGGCCGGGAATCGAACCCGGATCTCTAGCATTCCCTTGAGTTACTTTCATTCTCTGATTTAAAAATCTTAATTTATATGATATGCTTTATAATATGCTGCTTACCCAAGGAACATATTGTTGGAAATATTATCAAGATGTCCACGATACTTAAGCCACGGCCCAGCCGCGGAGATGTGATCCGTGGTGCACTTGCCTTTTACTTTAATCAGGATCGTCAGATCCTCTAGATCATTGCCATCCCATTTATCAAAGGGTTCCAGCAACTGTAATCTTTGGCTTTTGGGATCTACATCGACCTTAACTTTGCTACCATCTCTTGGTGGTTCGTCGTAAGTGTCCAGACCGGGGTCAAAACCACGATTGGGTAATTCGTCACCTGTAAAAATAAATAGATTTATTTAGTAAAACATATGTGTATGTATATGTATCATAAATATATACACGAAAGGAATAATGTTAATAGCAATCTACCTTTACAGAAATTGTACTTCCTTACTGGAAGTAATTAATTACTAATAACAATGCTCAAAATAAGTAAATAATCACTACCTTTCAGTATTAAATTTTCAAGATTGGGAAATAATTCGTTCCTTCCAACAAGTTCTAGATAGAGTTATTATTTTTTAGTAACTACAACTTACTTTATTCCTTTTTTTCTATCTATAACTGTGACTTAATTTAGTTACATTTTTTGGTAACTAGTAACTAAATTAATAATTACTCTCTCTTTTATATTCACTTTATATATCTCAAATTTATTCATCAACATATAGGCTTATCATAATAAAACCAAAATAAAATAAATAATCAGTAATTATTTCTTGTGACTAAAATATATCTTTATCCCTGATAATCATTGCATTCTGTAAATGTCTGTATTAAGAATTAAGCTAAGAGCCTTTTAATGTGTAACGCGTCTTAATATTGTATTATTACCAAATTAACAAAATTATTTTCAATTAACTGCTGTTAATATGTTATAATAATGTTTTTCCGCGTATTTTTTGCTAACAACTGTGTGATAAATTTTGCGACATATGATAAATATCATCAACTAACCATATGGATTGTCCAGGAGAAATTCCTTTCCATCCTTGCCCTTTAATCTATCTTTCACCGGATTGAAATCAAGTTTACCAGCGATGGAAAGAGCGGTAACAAGCTCGGGACTTGTTACAAACGCGTGCGTCGCTGGATTAGCATCATTCCTACCCGTGAAGTTTCGATTGTATGATGTAACAATCGTATTTTTGTCTCCCTTCTTAATATCCTGGCGATTCCATTGACCAATGCAGGGTCCGCAGGCATTAGCTAACACTGTACCACCGAATTCACGAAGCGTTTGCGCCTAGAGCAAATTAAAATGCTATTATATAAACAAACAATAACATAAACAATTCTCTGATATTTTTGTTAAAAAAAATGTTTTTGATGTTTTTAATTTTTTGCGCTTCTCTTTCTATTATATTTTATATTATATTTTCAATTTTTCTTATATTTTTTTAATTTTTAATTATATTTTATATTATTTTCAATTTTTCATAAAATAAAAAACCATTTTATATTGATGGATAACCTTTTATGAAAAATCACTTAAAAAGTCATATCGAGTCGAATTGTACTCTATATATTTCTTGATCCATAATCGTATGTCAATATGCCCTCTTATGCAACAAATTTCTTTGTGTTCTTGTGAGAGATGCATTAAAGAACGAATCACTTTGCTTTAAAACGAATCTTTTGCTCATCCTGCAAATACGCCTCGCTAACACTATCTAGAGCAAATTAATGTTATTATATAGTGTCATACAGTGCAAACACAATTTTGGGACACTTTTGCTAAACAAACCTATTTCATTAACACACAATCTTATGCGCTTTTCTTTCTATTATATATTTTTTGACAAAAAAAAGGTTACATATGGCCATGGGTCTAGACACTTGGACCAATAAGATCATTAAGATCATCTTTTCGATAACAATGACAGATACAATTTCGACACGTACAACCTTTTTTGTAGGTCTTATCAATATGAATCGAATTAGTCCTATGTAATATCAGTCATTTTGCCATGTTTGTCATCATTTCCCAGATAATACCTCTTTTATCTAGACCTGTGCATAGATAACTTTTTTTTGTCAAAGGGTGCATGATGTAAGACCTTATATCATGAAAAAATACATTTTATATTATACAATATTTTCAACTTTTTACAAAATGTATTTTAATGATAGATAATTACAAATAACTTTTTGTAAAGAACGATTTAAGAAGTTTTGAATATTGTAGGAGATATTAAAACATCGTATTGCTTATAAACGATATACTCGGAAAAAAATGTCCAATAATTATGAATGTACTATTTCTTGTAAAAATATTCATCAAAAAAAAAAAATTATTATTATTAAGAAAACAACGCTAGATCATTTGAATAAATGGTAAATGTTTAATATAATGCCCTCCTTCTCCTCCTCCGATTTTCCTGTATTTTTTGTGTATTTTTATGCGTGGAATATATTTCGAGAAGGAAAATCGTCATAAATTTAAAGTCTATATATAATTTTACAAATTGTAAAAACGGAAAACTTACAATACCATCGCGCTCGATTGTCGCGCGAATTTGCTCGGATCCAGGAGTGACGTTAAATGCAGATTTTGCTTTCAAGCCGTGTTTCAGAGCTTGCTTAGCGATGTTTGCGCATCGACCCATGTCCTCGTAAGAGCTATTAGTGCAGGAACCGATCAGACCGACTTTAATCTCATTTGGCCAACTATTCTTCTTAGCAACTTCGCCTGTGACGATCAAAAAAAAATAGATATCTTTGTAAAGATAGAGATAGAGAAGAAGTGAAACTATCTGTATGTTTTGAGTTTTCCCGTATAATTTAATTACCCAATTTAGAGATCGGGTGAGCTAAGTCCGGCGTGAAAGGTCCATTCACGTGCGGCTCGAGAGTCGACAAATCTAGCTCGATAATCTGATCATATTTAGCATTAGAGTCGGCCGTTAACAGACTCTTATGTTGATCAGCAGCTCCAGCAATCTCTGAACGTCCGGTTGCCTTCAGATAATCTTGCATTCTATAGTTGTATGGGAAAATCGAGGTAGTCGCACCAATTTCGGCACCCATATTGCAAATGGTGGCCATTCCAGTGCAACTGATACTATCAACACCTGGTCCAAAGTACTCTACAATGGCGCCGGTACCACCTTTGACGGTAAGGATACCGGCTACTTTTAGAATAACATCCTTGGGACTGGTCCAGCCTTTGAGTTCGCCCGTGAGTTTTACGCCAATGACCTTGGGACACTTGAGCTCCCATGGGATGTTCGCCATTACATCGACAGCATCGGCACCGCCAACACCGATACACAAACAACCTAGACCACCTCCGTTCGGCGTGTGTGAATCGGTACCGATCATCAATAGACCGGGGAAGGCATAATTCTCAAGGATAATCTGATGGATAATGCCAGAGCCAGGATTCCAGAAGCCAACGCCATATTTAGCACCCGCAGTCTTCAGGAAGTTATAGACTTCTTTGTTGATGTCCTTGGCTCGTTGCAGATCTTCATTACCGCCGATCTGAGCCTCGATTAAGTGATCGCAGTGTATGGTGGAAGGTACTGCGACTTTCGGTAGACCTAAAAGAAAGAATTCTCTATTTATTACCGTAATCAGAGAAAGACTGTAACTTATAATAACTTTATTGTAAAATATGAGAAATGTTTTACACAGAGGTGACAATAGAAAATATCAAATTATGCTTCAAAAAATGAAGCATATAATAATGTTGTTTTTACGAACATAGATCCTTGATACACTTATTATAAAATATACACTATTATAAAATTAATAATAATACATTAAAGAAAGATGGTTTTTAAAAAAGTCAAAGATTTAATACATGTAATAGTGACGCATATACAGGAATACAAAATTAGGGTAAATATTATATCTGCGACATTATCATGTCTCCCGATATATAATAATTTAAAAATTAAATTACATACAATTAGATACAATACATATTAGTAGAAATGATAATAAGAATGACGATTGTGATATACAAATATATAATACGTCAGAGAATGTCTTTGGACTTTTCGTACAAACTTTGACAGTATATTCTATGAGCTGAAATATAATAAAAATCTCTATCTCTATTATAGTATAAAATACGATTAGAAGACAATTTTACCAGAACTAATAAATTGCAACATCGCCATTTGAGCAGTCGCGTCCTGCATGGCGACACGATCCGGTCGCAATCGAAGGTAGCTGGTGCCGCGGACAATATCTTGTTTGTCAGGCTCATCCAGGTGGGAATATAAAACTTTTTCAGACAGAGTTAGCGGCCGATTCAATCTGAAAGGACATCGCTTTGAAAGCAAGTAAAAATAGTAATTGATGGATTATATTATCACCTTCAAACAACTAGCTTGAAAATGGATTATCAGAAATTTTTAATAAGATATGAATCAAGACTATAATATTTACAATTATAAGTGAAATTTAGATCAATAAAAATAAATGAAATAAGAAAAAGAATTCTATTGTCGATCAAAACGAATCTTAGTATTTGATAATGTTCATACATAAATTTGCAAGTACACTACGCAAAAAAATTCTTTTCACTTGGTCTGTCCTCCAAAAATAGGTAATATTCAAGAGAGAGTGTAACTTTGTCAAAAATTATCGTAACGATATCGAGACATTTGAAAAAGCATTTTAAAGTTTGAAGTTTCTACTTCGAGATCAGTGTATGATGTCAGTGATATTTCGATCTAATTGATTTTTTATAAAGTTATAGGGATATACAGAGTGTCTCAAAAATAGGGTAGGAGCAATGAAGGCGAAGAAAGGGTCAAGAGGAACAAAAAGTCTTACACCATTTTGAGATATTCACTGTAGTTATCGAATTAATAAAGAAAACCAATGTAAGCCAATGATATGCGGTGCCAAGCCGCACCGCGCGAATTCGTAGCACGGCCATATCTCACTCGACAGCGGCGCGGCGGCGCGCAGCGAGGGAATAGCGCGTAAAAGCTCTATACAGGGTTTATCTGAAATAACGTACACTAATCACTACAGTGCTATTACTTACTAAAAAACTATTACTTACTAAAAAAACTGAGTAGAAAAGTCCTGTATCATTTTACAATTTTCGCAATAGTTAACAAGATATTAATTACTAAAAATCGCTGTGCGTGCGTGCGTGCGTGTGTGTGTATGAATATTGGTTTTCAATCATTTCTTACTCAAATACTATCAACTTTACAGAAAAACTGCAACAGACAAAAATCATTTATTTTCTTTTCATAAAACTCTAAGAATTTTTTATTAACTTTGTAGTATTGCATTTTCTTATTTTTACCAACATAAAAAAAATACGGTATTAAAAAATTCTGAAAAAATTCTCATAACTTTATGAGAAGAAAATAAACAATTTTTATCTCAGGCAGTTTTTCTATAAAGTTGATAGTATTTGAGTAAAAAATTATAAAAAGACCAATATTCAGCGATCTTTTGTAATTAATATCTTGTTAACTATTGCGAAAATTGTAAAATGCTAAAGGACTTTTCGACTCAGTTTTTTATCAGGAATAGCATTGTACGATTAGTGTACGTTATTTTAGATACACTCTGTATATCAAAGTAGCGCATAGATCCTCCATGTTGGACCTACTAACCATGGCTACGGTCCACTTGATGCTACAAATGCTTCGAAGCATTTTTTGATTGGTCAATTAGTAAAATTCTTTCTTCCGATTGGTCAATCAAATGCTTCGAAGCATTTGTAGCGCAAGTGGACCGCACCCCATACCCTATACCAATAATACTAAGCGCTTATTGGACTACAGACGACTAAATCGAAATGGCGGTCGAAATAGCCAATAGGAAGATTGTCGGCATTTCAGCTCGGATCAAAGGAATGTGCTACTTTGATATATAGAGCTTTAGAATAGCGCTTCGCCATCTGGCGATCCTACGTCACCCTACGTGTTTCGCCGCATCGCGCCTACACTATCCATGAAGAATATTAAAACAGAATGTGTAAACTGTAAACAGAATGGCCCGTATTCAGAACGCGATCTTACAACGATGTTAGCGCGCTAACATACTATACTTTACATCACGCATATTATAGAATTTCAGAGATAAAAGCACGTTCTGAATACGGGCCAATGTGTTTTTGCGATTTTTAATTCACGGAACTTTGTAAAGTCCGTACAAAATTTTTAGATTTCACGGATTTCCATTTGTGTACATACCTATATCTCAATAAAAGAAAGTCGGATCGTTATCTCAATTACCGATTTCAAAAGTAGAGACTTTAAAATGCTTTTTGAAAGATCTTGCTAGGACTGTTTTTTATCAAGTTCCTCTATCTTGAATTTTGCCTACTTTTCAACAAACCATTAAAAATCATTTAAAATCAGAATTAATAAGGATCAAAATTCACGTATCTCTTTGAAAAATGATTGGAGAGCAATGTTCGGAAAAGCGTTTTGTAGCTCAAAGCATAAATTTCGCACTGACTCACGTTTCTCTGTAAAAATTTTATTACAAACATCGATAATCCAAAGTGAATCCTTGTAAAATTGAAAAATAAACTTCAACTTTGATAACGTGCATGGAGTAAAGCAATTTTTTTCCGTCTCTTCAATTGTATTGTAAAGCTTAACATTTTGTATTTTACCTCTTCTTGACTATTTTAAGATTTTCTTGCAGTTTGTCATAGGGCAGGTAGCTGGTGGAGTCAAATTTGGACATTGCCACTTTTGCAGCAGCGAAACTCAAAGGACTTGCACTGAAGCATCGTTGCTGTACATCCGCCGCTAAAGTGGACAGTTTCTGCAAAGTAATTAAATCACGCTGTTCTCTTTTCTTTAATCATTCGAAAGACATATGTATATATATATAGATTATAGATCAAAGACAATGACATTGATTAATACATGTCAGCCAATTTGTCACATGCTATGCAATACCGTTTATTTCTGTATGCAGTCTCAATTACGCAAGACCTGAGATACGTGATTTGCTAATTGTACTTGCGATATTTCGTGGATACATAATTATAAATGCATCAAGATAAAATCTGCGCAGAACGATAATGCTCGGCAAAAATGATGTATCGATGATAAAAATTGTAAACAAGCATAAAATTCGCGCAGGTGCAACTAGATGTATTAGTTATGTTATCCATACTACATTTATTTCCTTGTTCCAATATAATATAGCCAACATGTAAATTTAAGCTTAAGTTTCGCGTTCTCGTCAAAACAAAACACCTGCATCATGATAAGATAACGTCTCCGAAAAAAGAATAAGTACTATATACATATAGTTTGGCATTACGTAACGCTCTTAAAACGTTTTACCCCGTGACATTTTTCATCTTTTCAATCCGTTTCGATCAATATACGTTCTATTTGCGACTCATTTTTCTAAGATTGAGACGCCCACGTGCTCTGTCCTTTCTCTTCACCTTCCAAAATTGATCCCGTTAACCGTTCCAGAAAATTGGAGCAGAGGGATACTGCGAGCACAGCAAGCACATACATCGAAACATGTTCATTCAGCACAGTTGCACAGTTTTACAGAAAATTGCGATTGTACGTAACGTACAGAAACTCCGTAGAGTATTAGAGGTCAATTGGTTGACCTCCATCCAATGAGGAGGAAGGAAAGAGACACGGAGAACTCGTAAGTCACATGCAACACAGATTTTCGATTCCATTTTCTTTTTCTTTTTACCTGTGCACGAAAAACTCGCGTGCAGTACGACATAGCGAATTAAATTAGCGTTCAGCTGCAGTTAATCTGAGAGCTACAGTCGCTACAAACGCGACAGACGCGAGTTTAAAAGGCGCGACGTTTCGCTCTCGTTTTTGCGTACTTCGTAGCAATCAGCTGCCAGTAACAACACTCTCCCGACTCCCCCAGAGCCTAGACTCTCCCCGCCGTCTTTTCTGAAAGTAAAAACTGCATCAACTACATGTATCGATCTTATCGATGTGTATAAACTTCTGAAGATGCGAATCAACGTTAAACGTAAAGTCACTAGATTTATTAAGTACCGCAATCATTCCACCATTTTGGCTCCAACAAGTGGCTCATTCAAAACGTATGCATATGTGTATGAACGTATTTTGTAAATAAAAAGGAAAATCATAAATTATATTAATCAGTGTTTTTATTTACGATATTATTCTTGTTTACATACGATTTCATAGCAACGCTTCTACTACTATGTGTATTTGATTCCGTAATATCAATATTTTCCTTTTTTAATAGTAAAGTGGATGCGTGCTATAACAAATGTTTTAATAAGTTTATAAACAATATTGTGGCAAGATGGTACAAAGTCTGTGCAACAATTATTTAAAAACATTTGTACAAACTCTATAGGTTTTAACTTATTAGAGATAAAGTTATGTTCATTTCTTCTAAATAATAACTCACATTTGTATACAATGTTATATATTTCTATGCTTGGAAATATTAAAACATTATCCTTAAATTCTCTTAATCTAATGAAAAAACTTTGATTATTATTTGGATCATTCCTGCAATCAGTTATACGTTTTATTTCATAAATATTTCTCAGATCTCAGATTACACCATTACATAATAGATCTTAGGTTAGATACATTGCACTTAATGTAGATATACGTTATGAAAAAGCACTATTTACATTTTTCGATGCCATTTTGGCTCCAAATCCTTATACATTGAGTCTTATGGATTACGGTACTTTATAAATCTAGTGACTTTATGTAACCTTATTTTGAAGCGCCTCTATGTCCACAAAACGTGTACATTGAACTACGTAGCCAATGTCCACGATCCCGTCGGTAATGTCCACGATCCCATCGATAATGTCCACGATTTTTTGATTGTGTTCTTCGCTATATCCACGATTTTCGGTCTGTTAGATAAACAAAGACGAACAATCGTTTGTTCAACAAGCGCCGATAGATTGATTGTTCGTCTTTATCTATCTAACGGATCGAAAATCATGGACATAGCGAAGAATACAATTAAAACATTGTGGACATTTCCGACGGGATCGTGGACATTGGCTACGTAGTTCAATGTCCACGTTTTGTGGACATAGAGACGCTTCAAAATAAGGTTGCAGCTAAATCCCGGGCATGGTCGCTCTCAGACTTCTCTCTGATAATGCTACGTACGTATGTATGTACATGTGTAGAAATGCTAGTGTCAAAATTGATACGTGATCACACTCGTGCTGTTTTTCAGCGTCTCATGAAATGGCACCTGGGTACCTATCATGGAACAAAATCGAAATGGATGTCGATCGAAATTATTCAACTATTCTCTAAATTTCTATTGCGTTTTCTAGGGAAAACGGAATAATTCCGATCGGAATTCATTTCGACATGTTCCGTGATAGGTACCCTGTACCGACAACTACACCAACTGGCCCCAACAAATTTTTTGGGGCCACTTTATGTACGGTCAGCGCTAAAAAGGTTGCAATACTTTTTTTCGATAGAATTCGGAATGTAGCCTACTTACAGAGCGATTGATTCTTATTTGTCGATTCATGAATAAGAATCAGTCGCTCGGTGAGCAAGCTGCATTCCGAAACCCATTGAAACAAAAGTGTTGTGTGTGTTGCAACCTTTTTGGCTCTGTACACAAAAACTGGTTCTACATTAGTCGCATCGCAGCGTCGCAAGCGTTGCGGTCCGATCAACATCAAGCTAGCTCGACTCTGATTGGACCATAACACCTGCGACACGCTTGCGACATTGCGATGCGACTAATGTAGAACCAGCTTTAAGGAAAATTTTCACAAGTTGCTCAAACTGGTTGTTTCAGCGACAAAAAGAATCGCGTGATCAAAATGAACGCTTGATATTCGTCAATTTTGACCACATGATCCTTTTTGTCGCTGAAACAGCCTGTTTAAGCAGCTCATGAAAATTTACCTTTATGTGGTATACTGAGCCCAAACGAACATGCAACACTGACGAAAGATTGCATCATTCGACCAGCCAAACACCAGTTACACCAATACCCGAAATATGCAGTCGGTGCGTCCCAGCCGAAATCACTATGGGTGAAATCCATAGACGTTGCTCAAGATTCGAGATGGTCTTAAGCTAACGCATGAACCAATCAGAGACCCGTATTAGCATCTTAAGATATTGGGCGAGTTCAAGACGACAATGCGGCTAGGCATGCTTATTGAGCAATTGAATATGACTAGTTGGATCTATAAGAAACAA